GTATCGGGTAATTCCTTGTCAGTTCATTCATATACTTGTACCCAAGAAGTGTATTTTCGTCACAATAACCTTGTTTGCATATATATATATATATATATATATATATATAACACCAATCTTTACAGATACGGCGCCAAAATGACCATGGGTTAACAAAAAAGTTTAGGTACAAAAGCGGGGAAAACAAAACGGCCAACTTGGGGGAGTAAACAATTTTTTTTGTTTACTGCACGCCATTTTGAGTTTTTTTCCGTACACGTCAAGCATCAAAACGGCCAAAAAGCACATGTAACTGAACAGTGGTTGCACCACCACTAGGTGATACTTTTCGAGCTATCCACTTGAAACACAATAAAAACAACACACGAACCAGAAGAAACCTACAACGAAAACCTTCAAGGCTGATCCCCCAAACCACTCACAATTTGGGATTTGAGGTATTGTTCGAAGATTACGATTGACTGTGTACTCCACTGTCTAGGTGGTGCATAATTTTGGTTACCGAAGTTCAAATGGTTTGGGATACTAACACTGTTTCAATGGCTGGCGGTCTAGACTTCGGTAGACCATCGCTAAAGGTGGAAGCTAGCAAACCAATTTAGTTTTGAAACAACCTTTTCCCGATAAGAACTTGAATGAAGAACACAAAAAACATTATTTGACTGTAGTATCCACTTGAAGAGATACAGCTAAATTTTTCGGAAGATAAATTGTGTAATTGTATGTCATTCAATTCCATCACGACGAGACTGCGCCTTGACGTGGTGGCTTGTGCACCTCTGTGACCCAACGAGCTAAACAGGATGGCTTTTGTCAAGCCGCAGATCTAATCATGCTTTGAAGGTCAATGGGTAGAGGTCAGACGAAGTTCAGTCTCCTGGTCCTCCAAGATGACGGTTCGACCGGAATTTGCGGTTCAGTCGGTAAAAATGGTGGAGGAATAATCGATCCAAATAAATGGGCCTCCACTTCGCTTCGCCCGCTGCCTTGCGGTTGGGTTCTTGTTAGAACTAAAGGCTTCGGACAAGAACCCTAATCGTTCTCTTGCTTAGTGGCTGGATACCCGTCCTGGCAGTACCCGTCCATCAAACCCCAATGCATACATAAAATTAAAATAATCTCGTACTGCATCGGTCGTCGTGCGGGATAATCAGGACCGCGCTACCCATTGCATCGAGCGGGGTGGGTAGTGATAAGTGGGCAACTGCTCAGATATCTCAACCTTGGTTTAATTCTTTGTCTTCAGTACCCAGCCCTCTCCATTTTCCCCTTCTTCCGACCTGTAATGGTCCCTCAAGCAACTTGGATGTCGCTCGCCAAAGGCAGTTGTCAAATAGCACTGTAAGTATTGCATCATGAAAAGAATTGTAGACTCTAAAGCCTCATCAATCACTCAATCTGGGGGCCTTCAAAGTGAGAACCCTGATGCAGGTAGGTCAACAAGCTTAGCTGGCTCATACAATGGAATCCTCAGGGATCGATATCTTCTGCGTCTCCGAGACTCGAATCCAGGATCTTAGCACTATAAGCCAGCTGAGCGCGCCAGATTTGTCGACGAGATACGTTCTTCGCATATCAGACGACGATGAAGCTCGTTCAATTGGCCAGCGCGGGGTAAGTATTGTACTCAGTAGCAGGGCTGAGTTCTCTCTTATCAATCGGATCCCCGTCGACAGTCGTTAATCTCCAGGGTTCAATCAGCGTCCGGAAAGGAAGCAACACCAACAGATGTTTGTTCATCGTATCGGCATACGCACCGACTAATTGCAGTTCTGATACACAAATGGACGTTTTCTACGATGAACTCACCGATCCCATTCGGATGATTCGAAGCTATGACATAGTTGTATTTGCAGGTGACTTCAACGCGCAAGTTGGAAAACTGGGCGCATCAGAAGCTTGCCTAGACGATAGTTGTGCTCTGCCCAGCCAACGAATACATAACGGCGATCGACTTCTTCAGTTCTGCGCGGATCATCATCCGTTCCTATCAAGCACCAACTTCTGACACAGCTCTCGACAGACGGCAACGTGGTGCTCCAATTCAACTGGTACGCTGACTCAAATCGACCACATAGCAGTAAGTTACCGTTGATGTGGCTCTGTGCAAAATTGCAGGTCCTATTGAACCACCTGCGTTGAGTATGACCATGCATTAGTTTTGATGCAATTCATTCTGACTGACTGATCGACGACAAAACCAGAAAACTGGGATAGCTCATCAACCACTGTCTATTCCTACAGTCCATGCACCCTTTGAGTCAGAACTAATGTGTGAGCTAAGCGCGCTTCAACGCGATGGTGTAGGTCAGCAACGGGATCAGATCAGGCGAGCAATGCGTTCCGTAGCGAATCTTGCTTGTGGGTCTGAGCCTCAAGCCCAACTGCGGCACTGAATATCTGATGAGTCTGTTGCACTGATGAAAAAAACGACAAATCCCGACCTGCCAGGATCATAATAGAGTTAGGTGGCATCTACAACGTCCGCTTATGAAGGGCCTCGAAAAGGATCATGAAGACTGTGGGCAACAATAGCTGGTGGAAGGGAAGTAGAAGCCGCAGCAGGAAATAATCAAACACTGT